GAGCTGCAAATCTGTATTGCCATTAACCGTTTATTTTTTCACCAAACTTGATCAGATGTTTTATCTTTTCACCAAGGGTTAAGTTACACCATGTAGCAGCATTAGTTAAATCTCCTTTACAATCAGGAAAAAGTTAAGGAAATGCCATTGTTGCTAGTAATTGTATTTTGAACTCATAGAAAGGTTTCTGTTGTCTTTCTGGCCAGCCAAGGTTATTGTTTTGTAGAATTTCATCAGTTATTAATTGTTTTTGTTACTTGAGTTCCACAGGATTCAATAACATGCTACTTAGCTCAGGCTCTCTTTTACAAGGGATTTCATCTATATGAAGAAGGCCTCTATTTGGATCTATGTCACTGTCTGGGTCTTTGTCAGGTGCACAAGACACTTGAGTCGATCGGTTGGAATTCCTTCTAATGGCAGACAAGCCAGGCATTTATAATCAATTTTTTTTATCTTTGTAAGCAGGATTGTGCTTCACTAACCACATCAAAGCACACGAGACTTTTTGTCCATGTACAAGTAAATCTCGTACGCTTTGTTGAGATAACTTGTTGATCACTTACTTTTGGTCATTTGTATCCTTCAGCGATATTTTGTCATATAGGCATCTTGGTTAAGTTGAAATTCCGGCTTATTGCTATATTTTGCTATGGATTGATTGTGTCTATCCTTCTCTGCATCTATATCAGTAGCACTTGTATTAGTGCATTCAAGCTGGGTACCAAATTGATTGCTGATATTCTTCCTTTTGCAATGTTGTTTCCTATGTGCACTTTCTTTGCTTTTACTTCAGGTTTACTTCAGTCTGTATTTCTTTATGCGCTGAGCATGCCTTGCTTGTTTCACTTTTGCATCTCTTACTGTTTTCAATTCATGTTTAATTGCTGGTGTATAATAATTTATATTGGTTGCTAATTTTTGTCACTTTTTGAGATATGCTATCAGTTCTTAAATGTTCAACATTGTCTGAGACATGTTTTTGTTGTGGTTCATGGTAAAATACGGTAGGTTGTTGAACATTGGAAGTGTCATCCATCACTTTTGGAAATATGGCAAAAAACCAACCAGTTGAATAGTTCTGCTGTAGTTGAATAAGTGATGGAAATGTTTGCACAGAAGGACATAAATCATCAATATAAATCCACTGAGGGCCAGCAACAGTGAAATAATGACTTGAACATCTGACCATAGCTTTTAGGGAAAAATAAGAATCTAATATTTCCATAGTAAGAGAAAAGGGCATTTCTTTGATAGAATTTGATGAAAACTCAACAACCAAAAATACTGGAAGCGTAACAAAATGTTTGAGTGAAATTTTTTCAGAAAACTTTTGGCATGCATGACAGTAGAGTCTCGCTCTGTTGGGTAATGGTGCCTCACTAACAAGACTTTTGAAGGGTTTTCTCTTTTACATTATGGGAAGTTATGTACGAAACTTAAACATTTCTATTCCTTACAATTTGTTGATTGCACGATAAACAAAGTGACTTATTATTCCTTTGAATAAGAAACAAATGCTTCAAGTCTTCGGTCATTTCACTAAAGGTGTTAAGTGTAAATATGCCGCTGAAAACAGCATTATCGGACTATAACGGCGGCGATAGGTTTACAAACTGAGTCGAACCATATTTTACCATTTCGCAACACCACGATGGCAATCCTTTATTATGATCCAACACGTAAAAACTGAAAATAATCATACAATGGCCTACTAAACTTAATTATCACGAGCTTAACTAATAAGCGAAAAACATTGAGGTGAATGATCCGAAAACAATACAACAACAACAGAATTGATCATTCGTGAAATCACCAAATAACGAGTACTTAAATCAAATGTACAACAATAAACATAACCTAGGAGCGCTACAATGTCACATGAACATACTTCTATCTCAATCGGGGTGGACAACTACGTGAAAGAAACGTGAAATAAGAAGTCTCGAAGAAACTTGGGTGCTATCGAGAAACCAGAGCACCATCGACACTAAACTATAAACGAGATCTGCTTACTAGGCGTTGTCGCGCATCACTGATCACGAGACTAAAGGGTAACGCAAAAGGTATTAAGTGTAAATATGCCGCTGAAAACAGCATTATCAGACATATCAGCAAAAGATTAGCAATTTTCACAAAGCCAAGCCCAATCAAGCTCTCTGACAAGTGCTAACTGATTCACCCGTACGTAAAAATCTCCAAAGTATACACATCTGAAATAAAATCTCTAAAAAGTTATTGGTTATTTCAAGGAAGCAGTCTACAGCACATGAATACTTCCTGGATAGTTCAAACAATGGTTTGTAAAATGTCTTTGCGTATTAACGAAATCAGTGTGGAGAGCACAGCTTGACAATGGTGTTTGAGAATTTGATGTCTGCTTTGACTGTACACTTTTGAGAAATGGATTTCCATGTATTCTGTCTACTTCATTATTTGCAATAATAAAAGGATTATAGCTTACATTTTAAGCATGAGAAATCCTTTTAAAGTGCACATAGGAATGTGAAGGCTGTACCAAAAACTACAAAAGTAATGTTTTGATGCTACTATTTTACTAAACATTGCACTGTTTGCCCTGCCATGGCCATGAAATGTCAACGATCATGACAAAAACATAACGGAATACATTATGTCCACAATGTGAAATGAGGTGCATGTAACTTTGATGTAATGGGTTTTCACAGAGACAAAAGTGTTGCACAAAGCACAGTGTGAAACAAGCTTTCATGTAATATGAGGAAGATTATCAATGTTATTTGTTTAATTTGAATGTGTTTCTAAAGGATAATTTGCAATCAATTTGGTGATTCGTGGTAAGTTTTCAAGTGATCAATGGTATTTGGTTGGGTGGAAGTTTCTTTTAATTTCAAGAACTTTGCCTAGAGGTGGTCAGAACTGAACTCTTTGGTTCGATTTGAGCTTCTTTGGCTGTGTCGGTATGTTGGTTGAAATTGACTATCAAAGAGTGTGCTATATCCACATCACTACTTCTTGACAGATGAAATGTGGCCATGGAATTTCCATAATTAGCAATCGTCGATGATGATTTTTTCTTCTGATAGCAATGTATTCTTACAGGCATACGGGAACTGTATCCATTACAAAAAGTGCAATTGATATTCCAGTAGTAGGACAAAAGGATGTAAATTTTGCTGGCTTCGCCAAGTGAAAAGATCCAGAAATCATATCCAAAATGGCCATTCTCATGACCGAGGAGAGCATTTCCATTGCCAAAACTTTCTTGGTGGTTGGAGATGATGCTTACACTCCAAGGGCATCTTGTTCAGACTCAGTAGGAGGAGATTTGGCAAGGACACTACAAAGCTCCAAATGCACAACATGCCTATTAGAAATCTCAATCAAGGAGTGACAGCAAACAATTGTACTTCTCTTTTGAGAAAGGCACTGTCTCATACTACTTCATGGTTAGATTCAATAGGTATGTGTAATTTGTCCTTATTAACATGCAGCATGTGTTTCACATGGTCTGACTTGCATTCCTTCGTTGAAATCTCAAACACTTCCTACAACACGAAATTAATATCCTAAACATTCAATATAAGGTACCAGACAACCTTGCTCTTTTACCAGTTGTTACAGATGTCATCACAGGCAACATTTTTTCTATGAATACTGAAGCAGATGTTTACCTCCTAGCGGCTTTATTCCCGACAATGTGATGGTAACTCGAGATTAAGCAAAAGTGTCACAAATCAGTCCTAAACAAAACATTAATTTTCCTTGAAACTCACCACTACAAATTTCTTACCACATGAATTGCAACCAAACATATTATAGGCCATAAAAATATATGTCTTGGGAGAGCTAAATTGATGGGCAATGAGCACTTGGTGAAATCCTTACAAAGGTATGCCAAAGCCCAGGAATTTCATGACATGATAAATTCATGGGTCTTAAAAATTGGTTATTGGTTAATCCAACACCGATTTAATAATAAGATCATTTTCATGACCCATGGAAATGACTTGTTACAAATGTGTCTACTTGTGTGTACAGTATCTAATAATTGTCACATGTGAATATTCATCAATTTCTCATCCTATGTAATCTGTTTAACTTAATAAGGAACAAGAAAGGTAAAAGTAATGGCCTATCTTTTAGAAAATAACAATTAAGACTAGAGCTTTGACACTGTTTTTATTGTAAGAAGTGTCTGGCTGCAGATAGCCAGAATCAAAATGAATAAAAATTTTAAAAATTAGAAGTTGAATATATCTTGAATATTTTGAAATTGTAATAATAAACATTTATATAGCTTTTAAAACTATGCACCTATTCAAAAGTGCTTTGCATCAAATCAACTATTATTAACTAGCACTGAACACTTTCCTAAAAAGAAATGCCTAGAGATATTTCCTAAAAGTAGCTAGGCTGCTACAGGAACTGATTGGTAATGGCATTTATACACACAAAAAAGTTACATGCATAAACTCAAATGATGTAAAATCACATTCTTTGTAATATTTTACTTCGGGTTGCTTTTATGTTTCTTTTGATTAAAAAAATGTCTCGGTAATTGACATCAGGGAAGTTGAATGAACAATCTGCAGTATGTAGACACAGCAGCTATGTAGACATGTAAATCAATATGAATATTGCATGGGACTTCTCATCCCAGAATATTGTTACTCAACTCATGCTACGGAAAATTAAGTCAAACAATGGCCTGATCAGCGATATTTCTGGTAAACAGACTTACTTGGTAGGTAGGTCGGTAAGACTTTATTTAATGAGGGTAACATCTGACAGTAATATAACTGATAACCTTACGGTCCTCAAAAAAAAAAACAAACTAATAGCAATAGTTGTAACAATATTAATAGTAATTAAAATAGTATATAAGCCTTTGTACATCGCAAAATAAGATTATAAAAGGTGGTTATATACGGAATTTAAAATTTACATGAATAATTGTGTAAGAATTTGATTATTTAAATTATTAGGGAACGCTTAATTTTTTTGACACTGGTACTCCGTTAGAGCTCCACACTAAGATTGTTCCATTCCTTTGTTGCTCTCACAGCAAACGTTCGACCAGCTTCCTTACTTCTCTTACATCGAGGGCAACTTAAGTGAAGACTACAGAAATGGGTTGATCTGTTATGTGTGTCAGAGTTCCTGATAAGTAAATCATTTATATATTCAGGGGTATTGCCATTCAGCCTTTTGTAAGCTTGCATCAATTTACAAATGATTCAGCATGAAAGGGAATCCACTTTAGGGAGTTAAATAAGCTGACAGAAGGTGTTGTTCTTTTGGCATCAAGAATTAGTCTAGAACATTGCACATTTTTGAAGACGCAGAACTTTCAAAAGATTTTCTTTACCGCAAGAAGTCCAAATCATACTGCCGTAAAGCATTTTAGGTTTAATGATTGTAGAGTTGTATTTCTTGTTGACTGCGTTTTAAATATGGACTTATGTGATGGAGTCCACGTTTTGCCAACTTTTTGCATAACTCCCCGATCTGGCAATTAAATGAAAGATCGTGACCAAACATTGCCCATAAAAGTTTGAAGTCAGTTACTTGTTGATGTTTCTTCCATTTAAGTTAACATCTATTGTGCTAGAGGCGAAAAAGTTCTGCAAACGTGCAGAACGCAGCATGGACTTAGTATCTAGTATCTTAGTATCACCATCATCGTAGTATCTTAGTATCTTCATATCTTAGTATCCTGAGAGTTGATAGACATCTTATTTCGTGCTGACCACTCATCTAAACATACGAGATCTTGATTTAGAGCCTGTGTCAGATGAGGGACATTTTCCCAGCCAGAGATTTTTGCTAAAGTTGTATCATCAGCATAAACGTCTAGTGTTGAATCATGTATACTTAAAGGTATGTCGTTCACGAACAATAGGAAGAAAATAGGTCCTAAGATCGATCCTTGAGGCACTCCTTGCAACAACTGTTTACTGGTGGAACAGCAGCCATTTATTCGCACATATTGTTTCCTTCTGGTAAAATATGACCCAAACCACTTTAATGATAAATTATTGGCCTCGTAAATAGATAGCTTCTTAGGTAAAAGTCAGTGATTGATCACATTGAAGGCCTTTCTAAAATTGACAAAGGCTAAGTCAGTGACCATATTGTTATCCATATTAAAGAGCAGTTCATCAGTTAATTTAATCAGTGCCGTTTCCGTGGTATGATCTGGTTGAAAAGCTGACTGAAGGTTGTATAGCAAATCATAGCTATGTAGGTATGTGGAAAGGGATGTTGCAATGTGTCGTTGAAGTATCTTCGAAATAACAGCTAATACAGAAATTGTCAGTAGTCGCTTGTGTCTTCACGAGAGCCATTTTTGAACAAGGGAATGACTCGCAACCTCTTTTTTGTTTGGCATATTTAGGTTAAGTAATCAAAGGAAGGTGGTCTGCAAGCCTGATATTTGAGACTGATGTATTTGCAATAACAGCTGGATGACTTGTATAACAATGATCCAAGCATGTGCCACTTTTAGGTCTTGTAACAGAAGTAATGTCTTATTAAAATCACCCACAATAATGGTCTCGCGATTCTGCAGATAAGTGTTCTCAATGTTCTTCACTATCCTGTTATCAGTGTAAGCATTTGAAGAAGGCTAACAGTATAGAGCACTAGCTAAAACCGATCTTTTTTAATTAAAAGGGAAAATATCCAGCCATAAGCTTTCAATCTCCTTTTTAATTTAATGCAGCAGTTTTCTTTCAGCCTGAAGTTGACATAAGCTAGAATTCCACCACCCCATTTTACTCCGAGTCTCTCCTTCCTATACATCACAAAGCCGGGAATTTCAAAAACAGAATCTGGTATCTTTGGTTTCAAGAAGGTCCCAATCAAAAATAGCGGGTAAATTTGATGAAAGCTTAAGGCTAAGAGATGGTTTATCTGTTCAAACTCAGCATTGGTCAATCTGTTGACATTCCACTAGCGGATCTTGTGTCTATGTTTATTGAAAAAAAAGTGCAACTTGGAGCTGGAGGGCTGAATTGCGTGTACACAAAATAATAATTTTAAATAAAATTAATAAATATTTAAATTGAATAATATTGAAAAGGTGAATTACAAAATTGGATTTAATCCATGTGATCTAAACATTTTTTATAAAAAAGGGCATTATATCTCTAAGTCTATTGGAAAATATAGTTCATAATTTACATATCAGGATTCGTTATAAACTCCAATTGGAGACTATATAAAGGTGTTCATAAATCTACAAGTCTATTACAAGATTATATCTCGGGATGCGTCTTTCTGGTAGAAGATATCTAAGGTTATGACTGGGTGTAGTAACAATGTCATTGAATAGTTTGTCACATGCTTTTAAATGCTTATCGCTGAGCTTTAAAATTCCACGGAGGTCCGAGCTGTCCACGTAGTCAATGTCGGGGTAGATGATCGCCAGAACACACTTCTGAACCTGTTCTATGGCATCTGATTTGTAGGCTGATAGTTCGAAATGGAAAACCTGATAGCTGCACTCCAAAACAGGTCTTAGGCAGGTCACATAAAAGGTAATAATGTCTTGTTTAGGGACTTTGGCATGTTTTAACTGGACGACAAAATATAAATGTTCTTGATAATATTAGCCACGTGGTCATTCCACGCCATGTCATAGCTAATGGTTAGTCCTAGTATTCAAGCATTCGTAACTACTTCAAGCTGACCAGAGTTGATATTTAAGCTTAGGAAATTGTTTGCAGTTTTTAAAAAAGAGATCACAAGTTCTTGTTTTTTCTGTAGTCTGGATGTTAGTGGTGGAGCCTTTAGGCACGACTTCAGAAATGGTGGTGTCATCAATGTATTTCCAAGGTTGTACTTAAGGTAGTTGAAGATCGTTTATCACGAGTAGCAAAAGCTGTTGTCTGTTCATGAGAAAGTCGATCACCCAACGCTTGACAAAGAGAGGCATGGATAAGAAAGAGACCTTGTTTGTTAGGATATGAAGGTCTCTGAGGTCAAAAGCCTTGCGGTAATCAAATAGGGCAACTCTGACAGTGCTTCCTGCACCATCGAGATAAGCTCCTGGGTTGCGGATGAACAAGGGATACCACCAAACTGAGATAGATCGATTATCTTCGAAACAGCAGGGGTAATATGCTTTTCAACTATGAAGTCCTCAGCCAGTTAAGATAAAGCAGGGGTAAGCAAAATTGGTCTTAAATGCTTGCTGATGTTGGAAACCGATTTCTACTTGGGAGTTGGTGTTATGTCGGCTTGTTTCCATGCTCAGGGTAGCTTCTGTTCTACATAAGGCATTGAGTAGGTGGGTGATAGGAACTCCGAGAACGTCAGTGTATTCTTTTAGGATCCAATTGCCAATGCCATCAAGACCTAGTGCTGTAGACAGGCTGAGGGTTTTTAAGCTCTTTAACACAGAGTCAGTGTCAGTCAAGTTAATGTTAGGATTTGGGTACTCGCGGATTTCATTAAGAAGAGTAGAAATGTTTGAGGTATCCAGTGGATTGTAGGTTCTCTTTAGTTCGATCAGACTGTTGTTAATTAAATCTGCAAAGTCATCAGGTGACAGATCTTGGGTGTTGTTGATATGAAGTTGATCAAGGAGTTCGTTAGGAGCAGATGTCATTCCACCTAAACTTTTTACTTCGGACCACCAGGTCTGGGTTTGTCTGTTTAAGCTTGATAACTTTGGAGGCAAATTACTTCCATCAGAAGGATTTCCTCATTCTGTTGACCTTTTTCCAATGGAATTTGAACAAAAAATTGTTTAAATTCAAAGCACATCGGCACAAGGTTATTAAGTGCTTCAGTTCTTCCATGGAAGGTAAGTCCGTTGAATCTCCACTCATTTCTCTGGCATGAGAATGTGGTAGCCAGTCATAATTGCAGAACAGAAACTTGCATTTCTCGTCGCATGATGTTTGCAATTCAATCAGGTGCCAATTGATTTCGTCTCTTTAAATGATTATTTTCCTGCTTGGGGTACTAGTGGATACTTTAGTTTTTGGCCAAACTGCAACAGCATTATGGTCAGATAGGCTAAAGGGTGGTAAAAGTACGGCTGGTTTTGACTCATAGAAATTATGCATGTTGGTGAGCACAAGATCCAGAATATTGGCAGAACATGTTGGTTGGTGACAAGGTTTTACTTTGACACTGCGCGTTTATTTCTTGCTTTCTTGGTGAACATTGGTTTCCTTTGGGCCCAGATTTGCCTCAACATCACCACTTAGTACTATTTGACATGTTAGAAAGTTAGAAATTACAGGTATTGTCAAAGCATATGGAAAGCAGCTTGGAAGATGATATTGCCCTTGGATGTTGTTTCGATGCTTGAAGGTTTAAATCCAAGGAAGGCATATTGTACACCAACAAAAACAGCAGGCAGTTGATTCATAGATGAACCATCCCAGTTGAGGAAAAAAACAGGCACCATAAGTAACAGGAAAGTAGAAAACTTCAAGGGACTCTGAAGCCATGTAAACCCACGACCGACTGCCATTGCAGCTACAGATTGAAGGCCTGCATGGAGAACGGTTAAACCTCTTCATAGTATTCTTTGCTTTGGTGCCATGTTGTGAAAACATTGCAGCTACAGTTTAAAGGTCTGCATGGAGAACAGTTAAACCTCTTCCAAGAGTGGTTTCAACTGACCTCCTTGAGGTCCTTATTATAAAATAGATTGATAAATACATATAGTATAATTAATAATGACAAAAAAACACATCCAACAAAAGTTTAACATTTTAACAATGATTCTATTAACGCAATTTTGAGTTGATAATGTTTACAGGTTGAAAGTGAAAATTTATGCTGCCTACTAATTTATTAGCAGCATTTATCCGGGCTGACAATTTGGATTGATTGGGAGCCTGTAGAGGATAACTTAGATATACATAGTAAGTCTAGCAGTGTAAAGTGCAAAAAGTTCAGTAGGAAGCTTGAATTGAATGGGAGCCTGTTAGAATAGTACAAGTATAACAAAGTACATATAAAAATATGAAGAGAAAAAAGACCACTCAAAAAAAATTACGATGTGTACATACATTGTATGTTACATTACAGTGGATCTAACACTAATTACAATTTTAAAAAAATGAGAATAGAAACATGACAACAAAACAAATAGCATTATTATTTGGAAAAGCTGGAATCCACCATGCAGCAATACTTTTAAAAAATGAACTTGTGGATGAGAAAGATAGGTTCTGTATTTTTTAACTTTATCTTAATGACACTGAACCAAAACTGGAGTACACGTGTTGAATTAGTGGCAAAGACTAGGAAGGACTCCAACTCGTTGTTAATTAGTTTAAGAGTGTGAACATTACACCTCCCTTGGTTACTGAGCAAATGATCAGTTCATGTGTAATCTAACTTTGAAACATGTTTACTTGCTTTGTGCTGATGTAAGCTGTTTTCTGAAAGTTTCTTCAGTTCATATGCTTTACCTCTCACCCCTCTATTTACACGTTATGTAGCTCTTGGTGTTACCTCTGGAAAAGCTGTTCTGTGCGCTAAAAGACTACATTTGCCCATTTCCTAAAGTGTTTTTGTGATCATGCAGGCGTTAAACAAAGCATTTGCCCCCAGGGTGCTATTTACCTCAAAGAACTGTTCATCTGTAATATTAGGTTGATTAGACAAAGACACATAGTCTGTAAAGCAACCTTACTGCATGAACTACCAGTAATAAAACTTTTCAGAACTGACCAGGGCCATAGTTCACATCTTCATTTTGCCTATTTTGATCATGTTTTTCTTCGAAGGCCTCTAATCACCTTTCATCTCTTCTTGTTACTTGCTTTTATGTTGTGTAACATGTACACTGAGGAGGTCAGTGACCTAAAATAAGACATAAAGATTGTATTTAAAGGTGAAAATGAAAAAAAACTTAGAATTTTAATACATGTAACTAATCTTTTTAGAAGTAAATCAAAAGCATTAAAAGACGTAAAGTGATAATCAAATCTACAATATCTCAACTCTCATTTGGCTATGTTTAGTTTATTTTGGTTTTAAATGAAAGAAAGGATTAACATAGTCAAATGTTTTGAGAAAGTGAGCTCCACAGTTTAATACCACCTTTGGGAAAAGTTTTTTAGAGGTATTTGGTCTTTTTACCACATCTTATGGAATGCCATACCTGCCTTTTTATATATATATTTACATGATTTATGGTAGTTTTTCATTATATGCACTGGTTAACTCATTATACGAGGTGACCTATTCTTGAGATTCAGTACCTAGTTCGTTAAATGTGGTGCTTATTTAATTCTGAGTGGTGACTTTTTATTCTACACGGTGGGCACAGGAGACTAAAAATGTGGCAGGGGTCGGTGGTGTGCAATGTTAACGGTTGCTCAACAAAGTGAAACGTATTTCAATATGACGGCCAAAGGCCAGAGTAATGATCTTTCGACAGATGCAGTTCAAGAGGCAGTTTTAGCTGATAGGGATGACTTGTTGTCTAAAGAATAGGAAGAAATTGATGAAGAAAAATCTGTTGATGGAGAATCTAAAAAAGACATTGTCAGTGAGAAGATTGAATTGTGTCTTCAGGCACTTGACTCGCTTGATTTGCGTGATGTAAATCTGGAAATCTTACCATGCATTTCAGTCCTGCTGATCGTTAAAGATTTTATTGAATGCTCCCATTATGATGAAACCAAACTGTGGCTGGACAAGATCAAATTCCGTTTGGGAGGAAAAGTCGGCATCGGGCACCCTTATCAATGCAAAATAATTGGAAATTTACCCAAAGAAATTTTTTGGCTCTCGGTTGCAAGATATTCTTGATAACATTTCCCTCGCTGAAAAAAATAAGTGCTATGCAATATCATTCACAAGGATGAAAGCTGTTGTTGCATTATTCTCTGTGTTGTCAGGAATGCCAGAAGGGACAGTCATACTTCAAGAGGAGAGTGTCGAATGGAAGAGCTAAATTTATAGTATACTTGGAGAAAGACTGTTTTCCTTCACAATATCAAAGCTGGTCAACTCTTGATAACATTCCATGATGGATTTTGGAATAAGTGTGGCTTTCCACTCCATAGCTAAGTTACAGTATCATTGTTGCTTATTTTCCATACCAGACAATGAAAGACTGCATGATTCTTGTTGGTTTTTGGTAACAATGTTTTAACAAGTTAATAGCTTAAAATTGAGTTGAATACAACTTATTCAATGTTGATATTTAATAACAAGTTAACAAACTTTGTAACAAGAGTGAATAGTATTGTCTAAAAATCAATACAAAATTATTTTAACTACAAATTATGTAATTGTAGGCTGTTGTTAAAATCAGTTGCTTACTATTGTCCATTTATTTTTTCCAAACAAAATGGTAGTTACTTCTATGAAACTGAAATTAAACACAACTGCTCAAATGCTAATATATGAACATGTCAATAAACTTTGCATCAAGACTAAATATTAACCAGCATAATCTAAAAATTCAGTTTCAATTATTTTGAACGGTGCAATAAAGTTGTAGGCTGGAACGAGAAATGTTGTAGTTGTAGGTTGTCAAACCTCTCTGTTGATTGCTTACTTTTGAGGACTTAGTAAGCTAATCCTAGTGTTTGCAGTTACTTTACAGAACAGAGATTCTTGTCTACAGTGATCTTCCCTAGTGGAACACTCTTCTCAATTTGGGCTCTGTAGTTATGTGAACAATAACAGCATTTCTCTTCCTCAGGCCCTTTGTGAAAGCCACAAAAACAGGCTTGTCCATTTGTTACCCTTAGTAGTATATAGGTTTGCTTAGCTCTAGAAATATCTTCTCCCCCATAGCCCCTTTCTCTGAGCCAGACAAGGTGAACAAATTCATGCTTAAAAATCTGCATCTACCTGGCAACTTACAAGTCATAAACTTGTATGTTGGAACTGCATTATTTGGGTGGAATTGATGGTTACAGTGGACTACCAGTGATGTTAAAATGCATAGATATCAACAATGCAGATACTACTTTGAAGCAGTAAATACGTATCGCCCTGCAAGCAGAGTGCAAACTGACCAGGGACTCCAGGAGTGCTAGCTTTGTACTATCAGTTGTTTTATGTTATGGAGGATGAAGGAATCGTTCATCGGCTCAATGACCTCCATGTGGTTGTTTTCCATCATGTTTTTCTGCAAAAAATTCCTGAAAAGCTTAACATGTGGAATAGGGCTAGGTTACAGCACAGTTCGCGCACAGTTAGATCATCACCTGTCAGAATGTGGGTGGCAGGTCAACTGCAAACTCCTGTGGGGATTGAATTTTAAAGTGAGGCTATCAGTAGTTATGGTGTTGAAGGTTTCATAAATGATGCAGAGGATGGCAATCAAGGGAGGTCCATGTTTCAACCCCCATCAGCTCAGCTGAGTGACAACTGCAGGCAACAGCTGCAACATGAAGTTCGATCAACATGGACATCTTCAAACTTTGGCACTGATATGCACCTCAAAAGGCCTACATATTGTCCAGCAATATTCATTTGATTCTTAAATTCAGGAAATTGCTGCTTTCATGTTTAAAGGCGTATCCTGTGCTTCTTTTGCTTAAATGCTTTGGCCAAACATTTCAATCTTTCTATTCACATTTAACTTGTATCATTTAGCACTAGACATGTGACTTTTTGGTGCAATGCTGTTGTCTGCCCTAAATTTATTTGAATTTTATTGTGTAGCCTGTTAAGGTAGCACTTGAAGCTCACTCTAGGGTGATGAAGCTGTTTAAATTCAAAGTGTACCAAGTGCATGCACATGTAAATTGAATAAGTTCACAGGTGACAGAAACTAGTACTGAAGGTGATGCGTAAATAAACGGTGATAAACCATTTTTTTCTGTATTGAAGATTTCTTTTACAGGGGCATTTCTAAAAAAGAGACAATTTCTACAGAAACAGGTAACAAAATTTGCTTTTATTAAAATATTCAAGTAACAAGTTTTAACACCTCACAGCACAGACATTCCTGTTAATTAAACTAACCAAAATATTTTTAGAAACACAAACCTAGAAGTACATGATGCAAGAATTTTGCAATGTTGAATCTTATGGATCATGAAAAATACGACCATGCAATACTTTATCTTCACCAAAAATGATCTCCCTTACTCTTCCTTGTGTTACACGTGACCAAAGCAAGCATTAGACAACACAAGGTCATACAAGTTGAACAATTTGTTTTCAGGAAGTAAAAAGATATCCCTAAATTGATGAGGCAGATTCAAGCAGTTTATGCAAGTATTTGCTGTAGATATAAAAGTGGTTGTAACTTCCACAAATTGCAACCTTAAGTGTAACACAAACCTCAATACAGGTTCCTCCTCAGCACCAGTTTTAAATTGCAGAATATGTGACAGATACTGCAGCTCTCCTTCCACCTGTAAATTATAAAGGAAGGAGCTATCACTTTATGTTAAGAGAGGTTTATATTTGGAGTTAAGGTGAAATTGGATTTGAATCAACTATGCTATGTATGTGGGTAATGGCGAAATGGTGACTTTGGTTTTGGTTTTACGACCTTCAATTGAAAACCATTCTACTGATTTGCTGCTTCCCTCAGGCTCTTCATAAACTTTGCATAGACAACATTTTCAAACCTCCTGTTGTTGGACCCTTCCTCGCTGAATTCTGCTTCAAGAAGGTTTGTCATATTATTTAAAGTTAAAGGCTGTTTCAAGGCTCTTGAAATTTAGAAATGCAATAAAGTGAATATATTGATTATTAATAGGTGTATCGGACAAACACTAACAATAGAGTAACACCTCAAGCTATCGAACCTTAGCAGCCTATTGTGTAAATTTAACTAGCCTTAGTTTGCATAACTTTGTATTGATGAAACCCTAACCGGCAAAATGTTGACTACCATAGGAAATAATACTTGTGCCTTTCAAAGTCTATAATTTTTCCTTATATACATTTATTTAAATGTAATAGAAATTTGGCTCCCCAAAAAATGTACATTTAACGATATAAAAATCGCGATAAAACATTTCGTAAAAGCATATTGAAAATATATTGACAACATTTCGACGTTTGGCTAACATCATTATCAAGTCAAAGAGTGAAAGATAAAAAATGTTTAAATACTAAAAAGACAATAGGTAATGGAATGTTCTTTTAAACAAATAGTTTTGCGTGAGTGGAATCAGTCTGTGTTGAGACTAGGATTGCATTGCTTGATGAAAAGCATCTCATAGACAAGACAGTCAAATTTTCCTTGGCACTTTTTTAGAATGTGGAATTGGCTTTGAGGAGGCTTGTATCCCCATGGGCTGTCGGAAAGTTTTCACCGATCGCAAAGTTCTCTGGCAAATTCAACATGAAAAGCATCTCATCTTGTTTTCTCTCAGACTCGTAGTGTCTAAAGCTGAACATCTTTGTTTATCCTTTTACTGTCTAGTAGTGTTTTCATACTCTTTGTAGCCTGCATCAAAGTCACTTTGAGACCTGAGTTTAGAATCTTTTTTGAGTGCAACTTTATCTTTGTTACTTGTTTGAACTTTTACCTTTACTTTGTTTATTTACCTTCTTCGATTATCTTGTAGCATTTCCTTTCTTGGACTGTAATTGCTAACCAAGAAAGAAGCATAACAGTTGTCTGAGGCAACAAAAGAGAGGGACTCAAGCTTCTTGAGCTCTTTGAAAACTTCCTGCATGCATCCACATCCCTCTTGCATGCATAAGGATGTAAAAATTATACAGCAAAAGCAGCAGGACAGTGCTGTTATTACCACTGATTGGTATGAGGCGAACTTTTTTACAAGGAAACTTTTCCAATTATGGTGGTATGTTAATAGGAAAAGGCAAACCAGAAACAAGTATTGATACGAACATTATTGGAACTGCTGTGACACCCTACCAAGAAATAAAATATCTGGGAATAAATATTGATCGCAGTCTATCGTTCACTAGTTATATCAGTGAAATATGTAAAAAGGCCAGCCAACGAGTCGAAGTTGTTATGAGACTATGAAAGCTTATACCGACAAATGCTAAGTTAGCACTGTACAAAGCAGCAATTCTACCACGCATGACATACTGCAGCACTGTTTGGCATTTCTGTAAATGTACTGACGCCCTAAACTTGGGCGCATTCAAGAACGCGCTTTGAGAGCCATCTATTGTGATTGGAAAGCATCATGTGAACAGTTGTTAAAATGGGCGAATCTACCAACCCTTAAAAATAGAAGACTGCTTCATATAACCATAATAATGTACAAAATGAAGTATTACATTTGCCCAACTTATATTTCTGATCTATTTGTCAAAAATCAATCCAAATACAATCTTAGAATTAAAGAATTTGAAATCCCACGCTTCAACACCGTTAATTATGGCAAGAACTCTGTAAGATACATTGTACCAGTGTTGTGGGCGAAGCTCCCTGGATACCTTGGGACATTAGCATCATTGTCATCTTCTCAGGGATCTGTAAGAAAACTAAACCTCGAAGATATAATTAGAAAGGATTGTTATTGTTAATTTTGTAAATAGATATAGTAACATACAAGTAGCTACATTTTAGATAAACCTTTTAGATTCATATTACATTCTGGTTTTATATATTTAATACTAATTTTAGGTGTCCTTACTTAGTAGTTATTGACTGCTATTTTTCCATGACACATAAACAAAGTTATCATCATCATCCATAACTCAACAGTGGATGCTGTGGTGTTTACCATTTGTTTTGAACCAAAGTATTGATACATTGTACAAAAGAGTTCCCTTTTATCAAACCAAAAATGTTACAGTCTTACTTGACCAGACAATAAAAGAAACAAGGGTGCAAAAGCTAGCCATTGCACAACCTGCAGCATGGCCTTACTCATCAATACAATTAAAGGTAAGTGTAATCACGTCTCCTGAAATTCATTTAAAAAAAAAGGCTATTTGTGAGCTTTGCAAGTGTGAACAATTGGTGCCATTGCTCAATCATGTGGGAAGTGTAAGATGAAAGAAGAAAGCTATCCTTTGATATCCTTTAAAATTGGACTGAATTTCAAAGCAAAACCAATTTGCAAAAGCTATTTTGTTACCACTTGTTTGGTCTGGAATGACATCGATTTTTGATAAACTTCTGATTTCTGGCCATGGATGTTGATGGTAGGAGGAAAGGATCTCAAAAAGACTTGGCTGCAGTTGTGGAGTTAAAAGGTCAAATGATGGAGAATTGTAGATCACCAGACTGTTCACTTCTGTGTCCTGAAATGGCCATGTTGTGTCATTTTGAAATCCTGGCATTGGAGCTAAGAGTGACAAAAATATTTAATAATAATATTTATCATTTGCAATGCGCATTTTACATATGCATATGATAAAATAAATATAAAATAAATGTAGATATAAATGCAACAGCATAAATTTTGGCCCTGCATCAAAAATATACAAAATGATAAAATAGTATGAATCATATAGAACAAAAATTTAAAGTTTGAATAAAAGACTAAATAACTAAGTATCAATTGATACTTTAAGTTGATTTACAGAAAAAGCACTGTTAATTTAAGTTTTGAAAATAAATATTGAGAAGGTGTTTCTTGCGAAAACGTGTTTATTCTTTGTAGGCATGTCATTTTAATCATGATATAAGTTATCTTTACAAGTACTATGGTGTTCAATTCAAGATTTAGTGAAAACAAATTATAACAATAGTGGACACAGTTCTGTCACAGCTACTTCATACAGTTTCTTTAATCTTCCTAAGTTCCTTGCAACATCTGTTGGAGCTATACTCTAATTTTACCAATAGGTAGATGGTCGACTTTGAATCTCGCCAACTGCTGTCTAGTTCCAATTATCAAAATAATTCTGTGTTATCATCATTCAAGTTTAGTTTTTCAGCCAGAATCCAATTACATATGGCTTTCACGTATAGTTCTGTAGCAACAATAGTGCCGTACTGATTCACATCTGAATTCGGTTTGAACGACAAATACAGTTGGTTATCATCTGCGTATGCGTGGACATCTGGAAGATGACCTCAAAGCACCTCAAATAGCTTACTTGCATAGGTTGTAAGTATAAGCGGTCCTAGACAGGAACCTTGTGGGACACCCCTATGGTAATGACAGACTGTCTGAAAGACACCCTCCCAATTGGGTTCTGTTGTTAAGATACAAGGAAAACCATTTAAGAGCACAGCCAGTAATCCCAAAGCTAGACACCAACTGATCCAGAAGATATGGTCTATGGTGTCAAACGCTGCACTAAGATCGAGCAGCACGAGCAAAGTCACACTAACCCTAGGCTGATTGAAGTAGAGGATAGAGATCATGACTGCTTTCTCTGTTAACTTGGAGATGTACTGCAGAATGCTGACTGGTCTTAAGTTGTTAAATATGATATCCAGTCCATTGGAAATGTTGTTAGAAATAAAATACCCAAAGGACCTTTCACAAGAAAGTGAATAGAAAAACCTTAAGAAAAATTCTCTTCACAGAGCCTATTTTATTGACACTGTGAGTTCCGTGCTGCCTGAAAAGATTAAGTTCTTCAGTGAAGCTGAAATTAATTGTGAAATAGGCAATTCTGTGTATGACAATTCCCTCAAAGGAACACCAGCAAGCAAAATTATGCGTGGCAACCAGAAGGGAGTAAACATTACACTTAACCTGCTGTGTGGTTTAGAAGGGGTGCTGTGAGCAAATACAGTACAAAGAGCTTCAAACTCCACTCAGTTTTTACACTTTTTTGGAGAAGCAGGCAAAGCTTCAAATTCAAATGGCAATCTGGCTCTAGAATTCAGCGACTTCATTGTTATGGATAATTGTGCCATTCATCGGTTTGAAAGTGGACATATTTTACATGGATGACATATGCAGATAGGGGCATCTATTATTTACACTCCGTCAGTGCCACCCGAGTTCAATGCGCAGCTGAATTTGCTTTCAATAAACTTAAAACTGTCACGAGGAAGGAAGAATTTGGACAGTTATTGCACTAAAATGTTCGTTTCGTGGTTATGAAGCACTGGATTCATTTACGACTGACAACATGTTTGGTTTTTACAACTTCCTTTTGTAACTCAACAAATTTACAGAGAACTGCAAAAGAAAATAAAGTATTCATGTGTTAACAAGGAGTAAAGAGAAACTTGCTAAAGGTTAAATCATTGTTAACGTTAATTGAACGCAACAACAAAGGAAATTTTTGTAAGACATCTTAGTCTACTAAATAAATTAAATTACAGCCCTGCATGCACGCATGTTATTGCTTTCCTCACAGCTGAGTATATACAAACCATACCAGCTCAATAGTAATTGTAAACATCAGTTATCAATGAAATGTAAAACCTCCCCAAAATATTTCTAAAAATTGTGGTGTTCTTGGCTGTTACAACATGCAGATTAATCTATTAGAGCACTTGCATCATCTGAAAGTGAAGGTTTCTCAGTTTCCTCTATAGCTGTAAAAGTTATTGCATCAGAGGCTGGTGAGGGTTGATAAGTAGTGTTCATGGCACTTTCAATAAGTGCAGTTTGAAGTTGTTCCTGTTCTTCTTGGATAGTTGTTGGTTGCATTTGCTTTGGGTGGCTAGACGTTGCATTATATGTAGTGCTTGATTCTAGAATGCTGGAGATTTAGGGCCATTTAATCCCTTATTGTTCCCATTATGTGCATACTGGGTTGCCACCAAGACCGATCTCACTTTGAGGGTGGGCCAGGATTGTCTCCCTATTGTAGACTAGTCGTCCAGTACTGCAATTAAGCTAACGAATTGCGGTGATTTCGCCAACGTCACGTTCGCCAACGTCTTTGGTCGCTTCGCCAACGCGATGAGTCGCTTCGCCAACGCCAAATATCTAGTAATAACTTAGTAAAAAGGGTGCTTACTGATGCTTCGGATGTAATGCTGATACTTGGGTACGAACATTTTTAAGTTAATACTAGTTTCGCTTGGCTGACTTCCAAACAATTTGCATATTTTTGACAGATCCAGAAAAAGCCGGCGTGTGAGCACTAACATCGCGGTAATTTAAAACTGTTAAATAACAAACTCCGATGGCTTCCAAATGTGTTCCAAAAATGTATAACTCAAAATTTTACTTGAAAAATGCGTTACGATGTGAATTAACGAGTTACCATTTTTCAGAAGCAATCAGAGTTTGTTTTCCAGCCTTCAAAACGAGTCAGAAATAAAATATAACAAGTATAATATCAATAACATTTTAATTACAATACGTACTTTTATAAATATTTATAAGTGCAAAACATTTTAGTGGAAAACCTATTTATAAAACCTTCTGATTCACAAAATATTTTCCATGCAAAACTTATTTACAAAACCTTCTGATTCAAAAAAATGTTTTAGTCAAAACCCATTTACAAAACCTTCTGACTCAAAAAAATTTTCAATACAAAACTTATTTACAAAACCGTCTGATTCAAAAAAATTTTCAATACAAAACTTATTCACAAAACCTTCTGATTCAAAAAAAAGGCTTTAGTCAAAACCTATTTACAAAACCTTCTGATTCTCAGCTTACTTCACGCTAGTTCAGTTCGTTCATGATCAGTTAGAGCGCGCTGGTCCATTCAAACGCGAGCACGTCCTGAGTAGTTGAGCAGCGGTTTTCTCGTTGTTCTCATACTTCTCCCAACTTGCGAATAGTTTTGCCTGAATGTTTTTTGTAGTACGTCGTTGAATTCGTTTCAGTTTGTTGTCAGAGATCAGCCTGATTGTAATAGCTGTGAGTTTTGCCTCCCGATCAAGTAACTCAATTAAAAGGTATAAGGGCAAACCGCATTGTCCTCCAGCTCTGCGATTGAGGGCGTTATGCCAGCCTTCCAGGTCGTTATTTGTGCGGACGGGCTTCTTGTACACGCACCAGTTTCTTGGGGTGAATACTTCACTCTCAATCCACTGTCGTCGGATGTACTGGACAAGTCTCCCCAACATTTACTATAGCCTGGTGCATTCATTCCAGCAACTGTTTGTTGTACCTGACACTGGTTGGACACATCTTAAGCCATCGTGAAACAAATCTCCAAATCGCAAGTTGATGAAAGTATCTTTATTGTCCTTGTACTGAATCTGCAATTCTTCATTAGGAACAAATTGTAAACACTCGATCCTTATAATTTGCATGAGATCATTGAAGGTAGACATCTCAGTTTCATCTGTTTTAATTAGTTTTCATCAATCTTGCTGAAAGGTAATATTATAATACATTTTTAGCTGGATCATGTTGTATTACTAAATGAAAGCAGATAAATGATGGGCAACGAAATGCGAAGGAATGTTATCTCATGTGATTGCCTTTTGCGCCAACCTCTTTCTACTCATGTGACCGAAAACTATCACCTTTGTCGTTAAGGGCAACTTTATGCATGTCTCCAGAAAAGCAGTCTACCATTTTTGGTAGTTAACCGGCTTCTTCACCAGTATTTTTGTCATTTTAGTTAACTTACATGTAGGCTGTGTATTCTAAGCAGTTGAGCTTTGTACTACACTGCACCTTTGGCTGTGCTGTTTTTCTTTAGATTCTGCTAAAAGGCAGTGCACACTGAATAACTTGTCTGGTCCAGGCTTACACACGGAAAACAATCTTCCCTCCCTTTCTTGCCTTTCTTTTTGGCAACTGCTTCTTCCCCCTCTCTCTTAGACTGTATCCAGCCGTGCTGATATTCTTTCTGCCATGTTGGAAGTTTGCAGCACCAGATCCTCTGCCTTATTGGCTTCTTTAATCAATGGAAACCAATCTTAGCTAGGTTCTGATTTTTGGTGTGAGGCAGTGGAATATCACTTTTGGAGTTACTGCTTATTTTTGTCTTCGATCTAGATGCTTGGGCCACAAAAAATTAAGTGCAGGTTGACACACACAGGAGAAAAAATAATAATAGTAATCTTTAGTTGTCCTAATTAAACCAATCAGCTGAACCCAGAGGGAAAAGTTGGTGTTAACTTGTTATCAGCACTGTAATTATAAAATATATATTTCAAATGTATACACATCTAAAGAAAAGAATTGATAGGAAAGTCTGTGACCAGCTCCTTGAATGTGGCTGGAATTTCCTTCATTGACTGAAGTATTGCCATGCCATCTATGATTAACGCTGCAGTGGGAGGAATGTCCTCAGCTGGTTTGACTCCTTCAGTGCATGACTTTAGCAGCTTAGACTCAGCTAGACTCAGACTCAGTCTTGCAAAGGGAACCATCTGTCGAAGCAAGAAACCATGGAAGAGGACCCAGAAAATTATGGTTAGCCAAATGTTGCAAAATTCAACAACTTGAATATGTATATTCAGCAACTTATATTTATGTTCAACAAGATATATTTTTATCCAACAGTTTACAGTTATATTCAACAATACGCATTCTCTTTTCAACAACAATATTTATTCAACTTCAATAGCTATTTATTTTACTCGACAAAATTAATTGTTCAACTTCAGTCCAAACTTTTAGTCAACAAAAATAATTATTCAACTTCTACCATGCATAGTTATTTAATGATATACCTTCTTTTATGACAAAGTGTTTGAAAGTTTCCGGACATTCAAAATATCGTCATTAAACAAAATTCCCCGCCCCTACCCCCCAAACTACCCCCAAACACAAAACCCATTCCCTTCCCGTCAATACGATTATGGACTGGAACCCGATCATTCGATTTGTGCCAAAATCAAAATAGTAGCCAGAACACCGGACAAAGACTCATTCTTCAATTGCTTTGAGGATGTTACATGCTTGTTAAACGTTTGTGAAGAGGGAGAAAACAGTACTTCCCGACCATTTATAGAGAGGGTGATCAATTGCTTAGAATCAGCGGCGAAATTTGTTCAAAATGTGTTACCGATTGTAAATGAGTGCAAAGGGGAGTTGACTGAGGTTGCTGGAAATTTAAGGGTTTTGTTCCACAGTTGGTGCCGAAAATTGACAGAACTGGGGCTAAGGAATACTCCAAACTGTACTCACTTAGCAGTATATCTGGTAAGTTCACTGGAACTTACGGTAAACAGAGAACCAGGGAGACCAAAGTACGCGATCAATGAAGAGACTTTGCTACACTTCAGAGCTTTGGGATATAAGTGGAAAGACATTGCAGAACTTCTTCTCGTTTCATGTTGGACCCTGTGGCGATGGGTAGGAGAGCTTGGTATCAGTGAGGAAACTGGCTCTACAATTATAGGAAATACAGATCTTGATGATAGTGTGCAAGCTTTCATGAACATACAAGGAGGCCTTGTGGGGTATTCAATGGTTTGAGGCCACTTGAGAAGTATGGGTATTAATGTTCAAAGAGAACGTATTCGAGCCAGTATTTCACGAGTTGATCCGATCAGCTGCCGTTTGAGATGGGCAACAGTGGTTTCTAGAAGAGCTTATTCAGTGCCAGGCCCTAACAGTTTATGGCATATTGACGGCCATCACAGTTCGATTATGTGGGGTTTCATTATACATGGTTGTATATATGGCTATTCCTGTTTAATATGTTTTTTGAAGTGTTCTACAAACAACAGAAAAGAGACCGTTGAAGATCTTTTTCTGCAGAGTGTTGAAAAGTATTCGTGGCCTTCTAGAATACAAAAAAAAACTGACCATGAAGGAGAAAACGTGTTAGTATGGGAACGCATGATTGGATTTCGAGGCCATAATCATGGATCCACACTTATGAGAACTTCTACTTGTAACCAGAGAATAGAGCATTTATGGCGAGACATGTATTGATGTTTCGGTAATGTGTTTTACTACACTTTCAAATCCATGGAGGAATCTGGTTTGCTTGATGTCACCAACCCCCTACATTTGTTTGTTCTTCATTATGTCTACTTGCCCAGAATTAATGCTGCAATTGATAGTTTTGTTGAGGCCTGGAATAAGCACTCCATGAGAACTGAAAGAAATTGGAGTCCAGAACAAATCTGGTCCAATGGAATGATAGACAGAGTCAATGGAAGACTTGCTGCAGTAGCTGATGTAAGAAGTGATGCTAACATCAGTGGGCATGAGCATGAGTGGTTTGGTTTTGACCCTGATGCACCACCACCACCTGATGATAGTCTGTCCACTGTTGAAGTCAATGAAGTGAATTTAGATTTACCAGATAACATTATCTCTAAGCTGTCAAACGAGATCAACCCATTTGAGAATTCCAGTGCTTTTGCCCTAGATATATTCCAGAGGGCACTTGAATTTCTAGCAAACTTGCTTTCCAATCATAGTTCTCAATGAATACTTACAAAGGTTACTTAGGGTTATGGGATGATAACCAATAATGCCTACGAGACATGCCTGTAGGGAATCATCTCACACATAGCTGTATTTTTTCAAATCACTATGATTTCTTGCAGGAGGGTATCTTAAGGGGATTGATTTGTGATTTAGCAATCTATGTTTCCGAGGAAAATTGATGGCACCTCATCTACCCGTTTTTAATTTTGTTGTTATGTTTTATGGTGGATTGGAACATCATGCAACCTGAACTTGCCTAAAATTATCATGAAACTCAGATAGCTAGGTAATGACTTTAAAGCACTGGTTTTCTTACAATGACCAGTCCCAGCCACCTTTCAGATATATTTTTTTTTTTTAGATGAAGTCCTCCAAACTAAGGCATCACCCACTTAAACTAGCAGACCCATCCCTATCTCTCCACCCCTACACTAAAACTCTGTTCCATTTTTAATAATTTGCTCATGCAAAGTATTTTAAGAAGAAAACATGTTCATGTTAATCCACTTATTTCAATAATTATTAAAGAGAAGGTCAAAAAAGATTCACATTTTTAACTTGGTCCTTTGTGTGTTATTTTCAATAATAAAATCAGAAAATGAACTTTATGTATGACAAAACATTACAAATTTAAGACTATCATTCCCAGGAATCAGCACTGAACATAAACATCAGTTATGTTGCTAGGAAAGGTAAAAAACTAAATTTATCAATGAATTAAACAACACAACATTGAAAAAGGGAGAGACTGAAAAGCAGCACCAACATTGGTTTTGTGTGTTCTTACCACTGTAAATAAGGTATTAACAATGTAAAGGTGCATGTTGATGAAGAGATGTAAGAAGGCATCATCTTACTTCCAGTGCAGTACTGCATTAATTGCATCAACCTGGCACTTGATGACTGGTCAACAAATCTATTCATCATCTTCTTGGTTTCCTGTGCTTGGTCACTTAATTCATCTGGATATTTGAGACGCTCTTTAACTATTGCTGGTGTCAGCTCAACAGGTTTAAAGGTGAACACACCCTCAAACAGAAGTGGGTGCTTTGACATCTCATCAAGCACCCCAAGGGTATTCAATCCTTTTCTCAACTGATCTAATGCCATTTTACGTTTTGAAATGACCACGTACATGACTACTGATTGGATTATTTTCCCTTTGGTAGACATCTGAAATAAAATATGATGTTAACAGTAATGTCCAAACAGAATGCAACACAATTCTCTTAAATTGTAGCAAACAAATAGGCTGGCACTTAAATGGATTCAAATCAATCAACTGAATAAAATTGTTAGCAACTTTAGTAGGTAGCCATATAAATCTTCTGAATGTGTATTACTGTTAAATGAGGTGTCTTACTTGAGAGAAAAGAATGACCATCTCTGGTCCCAATATAATCACAAAATGGTATATAATTGTCATGCATACACCATCTCAGAAAATTTTCTGATATATTAGAGCTACTGTATAACCATCCTGTAAACAGTTCCCATCAGGCTCAAGACAGTGGTGTAATCTCTGAGCATGTGTAACAGGACATATGGAAATTCCTGCATAGCTTTTGCTATTTCACAATCTCAAGAATGAATAATAAAGTTTTTCCAATGCCAGGGGTGACATGAATGACAGAACAAATATCTTAAACAAAAAGTAAGTTCTACCTGCAGAACACTTGTCTCTCCACAATTAGCCAACAGATTAATTAGTTCACCATTCTTGGCTAGCTCTCCCAGTTCATCATCACCAGTGACATCCATTAGCTTTACATAAATTTGCAGAAATAAAAATAATTATTACACATGACTAGAAATGTACATGTACTGGTGGAGAAGTTTTATTATTTGAATAGTAGGTATAGGTTAAAGGTAGGCCCTTTTACACCTTTCAGCAAGCCTTTCCAGGAAATCTTCATGAGAAACATTTTTTGCACGCATGTGCATTTCAATGCTCAGGGTATCTTGATTGTGGACCAATGCACCTTCACATTTTTCCACATTAAATATATCAGGTACAAAAACTCCTAGACCACAACCACTATTTCAAAAAAAACTTGTTACATAAATTTTCTACTAATGGGAGGCTTACCCAATATTACTGGTTGCTGTAGCATGTTAAACAGTGGATGGTTTAATGGGGTGTCCAAGAGGTGCAGTGTACACTTACTGGATTTACTCTGGTTTTAAAGTACATCTTTGCTTTGCTTTAAAATAAACTCAAAACATACTGAGCATTTACCTGCAAGACTATATTCCTGGAAATTGGATATGGAATATCCCAAACATCACAGTACGTTAATGCACACATGACATCTCCAGTCACAAGGTAATAAAAACAGGGCAGTGCCAAACATGGAAATCCAGGGCCTCCTTGCACAAGTGAGTGGGCAATCATTTTACCAACCATTTCAAACATTCCACTCATGACGGCCTGTGATTGGTAACTTGGCACCTTGTAGGCTTCTCCTTCAAACAGCAGCAGTACCTTGCCCTGTACTAATCCTTCAAATAAGTTAGAATAAAACTGTCTCAGTACTCCACCACTGTCTATGGCAGGCTGCCCTCGAAAGATAATTCTTAAAAGGCAGGAAGCATCAAACTGAATGGACTTTTAATAGGCCACTGCATCTTCAATTATATCATCTTCATCGACTTCTAGGTTCTTTCTTTTTCCTGTCAACTTTTTTCCTAAGATGTCAATGATCGGCACTAATGATTCACATAGTACCGTATTGGAGTGTTCTGGGAGGGAATCCCCTTCAAGAAGAGCATCTGCTGAATGGAGGCCACCAAATTCTAAAAGTTTATAATTCCATTCAAGAGATTTTCTTACAATGGGGGTAGTTACTTTTTTGCGCTCTCGCTTAACAAAGTCAAAATGATCTGGTCTTACAAAAGGGAATCGCTGCTTCAGTATCTCTGTGATGCTTTCTCTGATTTCGCTTTCCAGCTGGCCTGTTCATAGCTCAAAGTAATCTTTCAGTAGAATCGTATTGTCGGTAACTGCACAATCAGGAACAAAGCCATTTTCATCGAGATCTTTGGGCTTGTCGAGGAGATGAACAGCTTTTGGGTGTAACTCTTGATTCATTTGTTTGCACCTGCAGGCCTCTTTTTTCCCGTGTGAAAAGAAGAAAAAGAAGAAGGAACCGAGGTGGCTGTGGCGGGAAAAGATGAAACGATGCCCGGGGCGATGGAATTTGTCATCTCTCGGCTCGCAGATTGAGTTGAACTTGCTATAAGGTTGTGGGTTCTCATTAACAACGAGATATTACTTTCCGATCATTGAAGAGCAATCTCATTTTGAACACATTCTCTCACAATTTGTGTCAGTTCTTCCCTAACATCACGCCCTCCTCTGTCTACCGATGCCAGCTCTATTCATGAGCGTTATAATCGGAGAACTGTGTCCATTATACAGCGTATTTAACTGGGGATGGAACGGGGAATTTGTTGAATAACAATATTTCAAATGTCCGGGAACTTTCAAACACTTTGTCATAAAAGATGCAAGGTAGAAGTTGAATAATTATTTTTGTTGAGTAAAAAGTTTGGACTGAAGTTGAACAATTAATTTTGTTGAGTAAAATAAATATAGCTATTAAAGTTAAATAAATATTGTTGTTGAATGAAAATAATTTAGTTGAATATGAAAAGAGAATGCGCATTGTTAAACATAAATATAAAATGTTGAATATAACTGTAAACTGTTGAATAAAATAAATAAAATTTGGCTAACCATAGAAAATACTTGAAGACTTCTCTCAGATCCATCTCTCTTGTTTGGGCTACAACAAGAAGGCGAGCAAAGAGGTCTCTGTCAGCTTCCAGCATCACTTCTCTGCCGATCTTAACAGATGGGAAAACTTTGGTGGTAAAGCACAGCTTGAAGCTTGCCTTTGTGCAGTGAGTTGTACCTCCTCCCGATAATGTTTCTTCAAGCAGGTCAGTGTTGTCTCAGCGAAATATGCTGAAGGTATTAGGACTGACAACCTTTTGAAGTATTACATCATGTTCCTTTCCTTCTAGGAGGTTCTCAGCAAGTCTCATCTCCATATCAAGAACGTGATCATATAAAATTCCATGACCATACCTGTTCAACAGAGTAATGACCTCTTTTGAACTGGTTAGGTTTTTCAATGCTAGGGGTAAGGAAACATGCTCTGATGTTTTCTGCATTCCGTTTCGTACATAGTTCAAGAGGTCTTGAGCAAGGGAAAGATCAAGTCGCTGACAATGCCCCTTTGCATTCACCTTCTCTTTCTTTTCTTCTCCTTCACCACCCTCACTCAGAAAACAAGTAAGTGAGTTGTAAACTACAGTTGGAACCATGATATTCTCTTCAATGTTATTTGAATATGGCAGCCAAGGCATGTTTGGTCCCTGACTCAGAGGGGCAGCACGCACAGCCTTAGCAAGATGGTACACATCGTATTTGAAGGGTACATCCTCTGGATTTGTGATAAACATTTCACTTTCACTGCCATGTGTAAGACCACAATTCAATAATCTGACCCTTGAGAACTCATCACGGTAGACAATTTAATTGATATCTTGGGTGCCACAAGCTTATTCTGCCAAGATAAGCCTTTCACATTCTGACCTTCAGCTTTTCAGAATGATACAAGGGGTTATGTATGCCCTGTGGTGAAAGAAGTTCCATGTATCTTTGTCACAAAGCAAACATGTGAATAACTTCTAAATGCTCAAATAGCGTAGGCTCCATCTCTGATCATAGGACCTCCTTTAAGGCCAGGTTACCAAAGCCTTTGGACACTCTTTGTATGTGATTCTTGATCAGCAGACTCTAAGCTTTAAAATGAAACTAAGAACAGCTGGCCACCTATGGGGTGCAGCCAACTTGAATAATAAAGCATCTCCTGAATTTGGCCACTAGACCATAACATGTCATTTTTACATGTAGCATACCTACCCCACCTAACATTTTGCAAGTGCAACCTAAAGAGTTTCATTCTGCACTCTTGTGGTGACTTTTCAGGAGGTTTCAATGAATAAAGACACGCTCGATAACACATGCTTCCACAGTTGTGAAGGAAAGAAGTGTACAACTGTTGTTCACGCATCAAAATTTAAAAATTTCATCACAATTCAGTGCTTTTATCATGGAAATTAAATTATTACGAGAGCTGCTTCTAAAAATGCAAATTCAGTGGTCTTGAAATCTAGCCAAAGGTTAGAGAAATGGAGAATACTAATACTGGGTTGGCGGTATTGTCATGGAGGGATGTAGTAGCACAATGTCCTTTTCTTTGTCCCTATCACCCTTGGCCCTTCCTTTTCCTCTTACTGTGGCACTTATCCTCTCTCTGTTCTCTGCCCTTTTCCATTTGCTGCCTCTCCCTTGGGGCTACCATAGAGAAGGATCTAGCACTATATGCTTTCAAGTAGCACAACAGAGTAAAAAAAAAGATGGTTGGATAATAAATGTAATTGTTGGAGTGTAGGGTGTAAGCATATTGCGCATGTATGATGATACCAAAAAAAATCATAAACATCATGTGATAATTCCCTGGAAGCCAATAAAGATTAAAGGGAATGGGTGTAACATGGTCATGCTTTCTTGTTAGTTTGATGAGACAAGCAGTGGCATTCTGGATGTGCTGCAACCTTTTTGTAGTGCAGTTAGGTAGCCAGATAGTGGAGCATTGCAGTGATCTAACTTTGGTGGTCTGCATGTGTTACTTCCTGATGTAGTTGTTTCAGAGATAATAATAATAAAAGTAGTAGTTCAATATAAAAATGATGATTCAAAATGTTTATACACGGTAGCCACTTCAGTTATACAACTGCTACCAACGTGGGCCCTGTAAAAAAAATTAAAAACAGAAGACACTAGGCACTATTTTGATAAACCTTGCTAATTCGTTATTTAGTGGGAAAACCTGTAATTAGTGTGTTACTCTGAGTATATCCGATAACTGTTACAGAGTAACAGGCCACTTTCGTTATGCCATGGACTCCGACTTGTTTGGGTAGGAAGGTCTTCTTCAAAACCTGTTTGTATAGATGAGGTACATTCTCAAAACAGTAGGAAGTTAAAAAAAGGCTGTAAATGCTAAAATCTATTATTAATAACTGCACCTTTATAATAAAAAGCACCCTTAGAAATGTCTAACTTAAGTATCTATGAAAAGGTTTTTGCAGAAAATGGTATGATGTGAATGGATATCGCAGTGTCTAACGTTAGAATAGCCCTTGTGAGGTAGAGTATCAAGGGCTCTCTTCAAGTCGATGAATGAAGCACCAGTTAGATTTCCCTGATCCATATTTTTTAGAATTCAACTGTGAAGTATGCAGTGCTTGACCAACTGAGCGAACAAGTCAACTGGGAGCTGGTCATCATGTTGGATCCAAATAAAACTTTGAAGTGGTGAATAATGGCTGTAAACATATGAAAATCATGTGTGCACTGTAGTTGAAGACAGGAATATAGAATCGATCCTTGCAGTTATGAACACTACTAAACTAATGACATTAAGGATATGATTTCTTTATGGTCTAGACCAACAGTCTATTTTGTCGCATAGAGTCAAGGTTAGTAACAGTTACTTGCAGTTATGAACACTACTGAACTAAGGACATTAAAGATATGATTTCTTTATGGTCTAGACCAACAGTCTATCTACGAAAAAACCTTCCAAAGAACCGATTACAGGGATGCTAAACTCACTTTTATATGTGCATGGTGATGCTGAAAGGTCCGGTTACAAAACTGATAGAAATATCAACAAACAGATGAACATTGTGACTATATTTGTATCTAGGATCATTCTGAAATCATTAAACTAATCAATAATCAATTTAATAAAAATGAGCCTGGCTAGTGTCCTTCAACAGAGTCTGTCCATTTCATTTTCCCTTCCTCAATGGTTCCCTACTTTGATGCCTACGTGCAGGAAAAATTCAACCCACAAATTTTGCAGTGGCAATGGTACCAAAAGAGGGATGATGGTCATGGTTTGCTTTCTTGTAACAAACCCAACATCTCTCTCTCTCTCTCTCTTTCAGCAGTTCCCTCCCAGTTCAATCAAATGCTGCCAAAAGGTGGTTTCTTTTCCACACACTTTCACACTGTTAGCAAAGCCTCTTGAGTTTACCATGTTTTTCCTTCTATACGTGGTTCTCTCTTTGACAGTACTGTTAAGTATTTGTTTTGGGTTGATAAAGGGAAGATAGGATGGTTAATTCAGCAAAGATTCCCCTTTCAAGACAGTTTGGGAGGCACCAGGTGACCCATCAAATAGAGGCAATATGATAGTCAAAACAAACCACAAAAAAAAGATTGAAACCCTTCAATCTAATCATAATAAATGTCAAAATAGTAACTTTATTTCAGTTTAAATGAACAAACCAGTTACCCACTGTTCACTAGTTGAACATTTAAGTATTAATTTGAATTAAGTATGAATAACAATTTAAATTGAACACAAAATGACCGATCTCAAACGAACTAACCTGGAATGACTTCGAATAAATTTGAACACAACTTCGAATAAACCTGAATGAATTGCACAAAAAATGGTTTTTTTTACAATTATATAGCAAACGAAAGAAGAACAAACCTACAAATTATCTTACCAGACGAGACATTATGTAATAACAAAAACCTACAATACAACGAAATGAATAAAAAAAGATTATGCAACGTTAAATAAGCACAATCCATAAATAAGATGTTCTTTTGTCCACCCACTAAGTAAGGACACCTATCCAAGAACTAATACAGAACTTAAAATAATAATTACAATAAATCGAATAAACATGTAAAAAAATAATTTTAGATAAAATTGCATAGCATATAAATATGTCCAATGTGAAATTTTGCAGTCATTTCCTGAGATAAGCGTGGCTAGATTTTGTTATTTGGTTACTGGTAATTTCCTTCTCTGATAGTTTCTTAAAACTCTTCATAGTTTATTTCAACATGGCTTCAGTTAGGAAATAAGGAGGCGGTGATAGTGTGGACATGCTTATATATTGCAGAGGATGTAAGTTTTAAGTCATGATTATTATACTAACCAAAGAAATTCATGTGATTGGCAAATCCAGAAACCTTTTGGTTAGTGTTAAACTGGTTCCACTCTGATGTGAAGTCTATAAAGCAAAAATAAAGTGAGGAACAAGGAAAACGCGTTGAAAATGAGATCTGACGTTTAAAGTTTGTTCATATTAGGTTCTGATTTGCAAAGTCTCCTTAGCGGGAATAAGGGTGTTTTTAGTACTCTCAGTGGCAGGAATCTGACTTCATGAGAACAAACAATTCACTGCATCCTGGCCAAACGGTTTGTGCTGTGGTTGATACCAGTCCCACAGGTACAATATGTTGTCAAAATCCACAGTTGTTGCACTATGCAGCCCACTGGTATGGTTGAACTTCATTTCCGCACTTGATATATTGATTAAGGCTCTTTTAGTTTGTTGTATTGATCTCGTGTTTAAGCTAGCTCCATTGCAGTGCTATAGCTACTTTAAATTTACCTGCTCTAGGTATTCTTACATTGGATCAAATTATACGTGACCACATGAGGAATCAAAGGAGAACTAAATAGTTTGAATTCAATTTTGTTGAAAAGTCAGTTAAATTAATGGCCGAACAGTGACGAAATTACTTACAGTGACTATTATTGACTAAAAACACAGTGCAGTCTGTGTAACCTCAAAAGGTTACCTGAGCAGCTGAGTAGACAATTCGAACACACATAGACTGCGAAGTGATCTTTAGTAATTGATGAAGATAGTGCTGAGATATCTTTGTGTTTGATTGAAGTAGTGATTGAGGTTGTGCGGTTCGAATTAAAAGAAAATACAACAAGCCATATTTGGCTAAATGCTAACCAAATAAACATTGAGTGTCCAAACGACTGCACTTTTGAATAATTAATGTTGCAAAACTAGGAAGACCTCAATGGAAAATAGGATCTTAATTGAGTGACATGTAACTATTAGGAAAAGGGGTCTTCTCAGCCTTGATGTCCTTAAAAATCCTCTTTATTGGGGTACTGAAACCTGTCTACTTCATCAAGAATAAATACTGATTACAAATGGAGGATCTAGAAAAAAATACGCACAATCGATGTTGTAGTTGTACATTAATCTACTCGCTTTCGGTCTCAATGAAATTTTGAAATCTATTAATGTAAGCTTGGTTTGTGTCTTAAAACTCCTTTTAAATGCCTTTTTCCTTTATTGCACTGATCTTGATTACTGGTTTAATGTCCTCCTCAACAGAGCAGTGATCAAGGAGATAGATAGATAGTTTATTATCAAGAACCTTGCAGCCACAGGCTGAATTACGTTTGATTTACAATAAAATATATACTACAAAAAAATACATGGCTAAGAAGAACTAATTAAAAAGATAAAAATATATAATTAAGAGAAAAACAATATTACATCATTGCTTTATGGACATAGTGATGGATAAAACTATTTCGAGTACGAATGGTGTG